GAGACTCGTGTGTAACCTCGGGGGAGGGAATGGATGCAGCCCTGCGTTTGGTGGGGAGATCACAGAGGGGCGAGCCTCTCTGACACCCTTCCATGATGGGAGGTCCTGACTCTAAAGCGTATGCTGCCGCATAACGCGGCAGCGTGATGTTGGGCTAAGTGTTTTGCTGCTCTTCCTCTATTTTCTACACTGCTAAAGGACTTACGCTGTAGATACTGAACGGGGAGCCGAAAGCATTTTGGCCTTGCTTACTAGTGGTCGTTGCAGCTTGCGGTCTGATGTCCTGATGAATGTGGTGCTGGATATTCCGTGAGGTGGGGCTGGGAAACCGCACGAGCCGGGTCTCGTGACAGGGCTGCTTCACGTGTCTTTTCACAACGGACTTCTTGCTACTTCACTGCCATGATGCCTCACGGAGCCGAGCTCCGCAGGCCCTCTGCGCGCACGCTCGAGGCTTTTTGGGGGTTCGCAATACGGTAGCGAAGTCGCCTAAGCTTCGTCTCCTCTTACTGGTGTCTCTGTTTCTCTTTCACCGTGAAGATTCACCGTCGAGGTCACCTTCCAAGGTGGAAGTGACTGAAAAGAAGACAACGGTGCTTTTGGAGAGTGGCTGCCCTCATGGCCCCTTGCCCAGCAGTAGCCGTAAGTGCTTGGCAATCTGAGGCTCTTACCAGAGAGATTGCGTTCCTTAGCCTCTCTTGGAGACCAGCTGTCTGAACGTGGGTTACTGAACTAATCTGCGTCTGCTGCAGAAGAGAACGCGCGCGTGCCCGAGTGGTGGGTGGGGGCAGGTAAAAAACATTCCACTTTGGCTGTCTGGTCCGTGACTCTGGGTGTTTCCTCGCTTGACCAGAACGTTCTAGGCTATCCAGACCCAAAGAGCTTTGCTCGTCCTGTACTCACGGCTCTGATTGTCTCTGGGACGGAGTGCTGTGGCTGTTCTGACAGCTTGTGGCCAAGCCTGCCCAAACTCTGGGAGTCTTCGGAAGCCTTTGTTGAGTGGGAGGGGTATTTTAATCACGTGCCTGCGGGAAATCAAACATTTCAGGTGCCTAAAAGAGCCAAGTGCTATCTGGAAAGTCAGTAATAAATTCTGTTCTCTACCTTCGTGCACACGTAGTTGCCTATTAAGAGTGTTGTGGTCGGAGAGCAACCTCTTGCCCGTGCTGAAGGTCGCTACTGCAAGCGCCGATATCTTTCTTGTGCTCAGGGGATAGCCGTACGCCCAACGGCTTGGATCCGGTGGCTGAGACGGCGATCAGGCAGCTAACCGAGACGAATAACAAGCCTGCCAAGAAGACCCCAACGAAACGTAGCACGCTGATCATCTCGGGAATTTCCAAGGTCTCTGGTAGCTAGAGGGCTCCATTTCCAATCCGGGAGGTTGTTTCTAGGCATGCGTGCCTGAAACCACCCTGTCCTGTAAGGACCGAGGTGGGAAGGCTCCAGCACAGGCGACTGGCTTGGCAGAACCCTTTCGCAGCTTCCTCACAGCTTGTCACTGTTTCCCTTCTCTGGTCTGTGAGGCGGCTGCCCATGAGAGTTCGTGAAGGGTGGCCGCAGAAAGGGAGGCTGCTGCCGTAGCCAGTTGGGAACCTCGTGGAGAACCTAAAGAGTTCTCCTTGGACTTGCCCATGGGAGAGAGGGAGGTGCTGTGGAGCGCTTTGGAATCGGCCATGTTCTGGTAGGTCTCGGCGAAACTGTGTAGCACCGATGATCGAAACCGGAGCGTCTGTATGTAGGTGTGAATGGCGGAAGGGTGATGAACGTGATCCTTTAGACCCTGTCTTCCTGTCTGTCTGACCTCCTAACCTCCCTTCAGGTACCTATCTCTCAAGATGAAACGGCACTGTCTTTGGGTTATGCTGCATCCCTGGAGGCCACGGCGTACGGGGATTCAGCAGCAGAGAGTGCGGCTGACCGGATGCACGATTCTAACGAATCATCACAGCTGCTGGAGGCGTCGCTGTCGGGACGAAGGGCTAGTCAGGAGCTGGATGAGACGACACGATCAGACGTGTCTGAGAGACCGTCAGTGGAAGATGTAGAGTCTGAAACAGGCTCCACGGGAGCCCTCGAGACCAGGAGCTTGAAAGATCACAAAGGTAAGGATGAACTGTCAGATGGTAGCTAACGTTAGCCTGTCATAGTGGAAGACAAAGTTCGAGTTCCGTGTCGGAGTGCAGCGGCCACGGCCGGCTTTCAGTAGCAAAGAGCGTTTTCTTTTGGAGCCTGGAAGAGCTTGTTTCTCTCCTTCGCTTCTCGCTGGAGTGGTTCCGTGCTCCTCTGTTTGCAGGTGTTCCATTCCTGTGGCCTTTTTGGTCTCTGTGCTCTCTTAGATGGGAACCCTGCGCAGCTTGTGGGTGCCCCTTTTCACGCCCTGGCCTCTGGGTCCATGAATCAGGTGCACGTCCGTAAATAACGATTCCTCCTGTGAATTTGGCTGCCTCTGATGCGGAAATGGAGGCCCCTTGCTCACATGTCGGTGGGTAGAAAGGTGTGCAGCCCAGATCCTAGAGAAACCTGGCAGGCGGGAAAGACGAGGAAGAAAATGGAAAGTAAGCCCCCTCTGTAGGAAGTAACGTCGTCACTTTGTCAGTGTGCAGGTTTTTAGATGTGCCTTTTTGCACCCGTTTGGGGCCGATGGTGATCGGAGTCTCCGTCCTGACGGCACGAGTCATCCGGAGCCCTCGCCGTCGTTTGTTGATGGATTTGGGCGTCTCGTGAAACTGTGGGCAGTTGTTCCTGGGGCCCAATGACTAGCTGATCCGGGTGCTCTCACGATGTGCTAGTCTGATAGGCCTTTTCCCTGTTGCATGTTCCTCCTGGTGTTTCCACATTCAGACATTCTCTCTTGTTATCCATTTGTGGGAGTCTTAGCTTTCCGTATGATTCTGCACGTTTCTGCCGAAGGGAGGATGTTGTCGCGTAAAAGGCAGTTTATGTAGAGGGAGCACGTGACGGCGTGCTTAGCAAAGCAGCTCGTTCGTATCGCGATCCGTCTCGAACACAGACTTTGCCTCGCGGTCGGAAACTGGAATTCACCAACCTGCCCTGTGCTTCTGCTGCTTGGGGTGCGGGAGGTCTCTGTCGCTTGTCTGAGAGTGGCTGGGTGCGTTATTGCCCCCAAGACTTGCCCGGGCAGAATACTATCGTGGTTTCCATCTCCTTCCTTTCTGTCTCTGCAGTTAGCTTTCTTCGGAGCGGTACCAAGCTCATCTTCCGGAGAAGGAGCAAGCAGAAGGAAGCGGGCCTGAGCCAGTCGCATGATGACTTATCCAATGTCACTGCTGACTCTGCTGCCAGGAAGAAAGCTGGGAGCTTCTCCCGCCGCCTCATCAAGCGCTTCTCCTTCAAGTCTAAATCCAAACCCAAAGCTAACAACAGCACCACAGCAGGTGAGAACTGAAGGAGGGAGAAGCCCACCGGAAAGATCGCGCAGAGATCCTTTTCTAGTCTCTTGTCTTCCTGCTCCGTGGTATCTGTGACCTGCAGTCCAGTTCCTTCCGACCTCGGCTGAGGGAAGACACCTCGGTGCTTTACGCCATTTGGGGAGCGGAGGTGGCAAACCTGGGGCTTAGGCTGCTTGTCCGCCTTGGCTTAGCCTTCTCTGACTGTTGTACCTCACTGTGGTCTCCTAGAAAATCCAGGTGGCGTGCTAATCCCCGCAGGGATCCCAGGAGCTACGGAAGCGACTCTACCTGCGTAGCCGTCTGGCATCGCCAGGAGCATCTTGGAAAGGTGGGGAGCCTCTTGAGCGGCAGCCCTCGGAGTTAACAATCGAGAAACTACTGGATTAGCTACGTTGCCAAGAAGCGTGAGACGTAGCCTTGCTCAGCTCTCCTAGTGATGGAGAACACAGAGAACGATGCGGTTGTTGGCCATCTAAACGCTCCGGTTGCTTCTGCTCGGTGCAGAAGGCTGTAACCTGATGGAGGCACGGCGTGGGGTGACGCATTCCTGGGCCACGAGCTGCTAGGAGAACAAGCTGCGGTTCTCTGCCCAGCTCTGGCATTGGATGAATCTCTGGTTTGGACAGTGCTGAGGGATGCCTGTTTTCTGTGCTATGCTGATGAAGGAAGGAGTCTCTAAGAAGAAGGAAGTTTTAACCAGTGAGCAAATTTTTGTAGAAGCCCTGGCCCTTGGAAGAATGTCTGCTAGGTGCTGTTGGTGCTGCCATCCTTTGACGTAGCCCTCTTTCCACATCTGTGTTCTTGAATGGGGAAGGGGCTGTGCTGCACGCATGCGCTGGCCGTCATACTGGTGGAACCCTTTCCATCGGGGGTGATTAGAGGCGATGCCAGCGGGGTGCCAGGCCATCTTCCGGACCTGCGGAGTGCCTGGTGTCTCACGCTCTTGCAGTTCTAGCGCCGAGGACCGTGACCGTGCTAGGGATGGACGGTGAGGAACGTGATGACGCTAGTGAAAGGGCCGTCTGACGCGGAGCTTCTGCGTGGCGGAAGGGGGCAAGAGTTTGCATGGTTTTGCTGATGGAAGGATTTCCCATAGCGGTAGGAGCCTTTCTTGATTGCGTCTGGTATTTCCTTTCTTCTAGCAGACCCGATCCACCACGTTCAAACAGCGGGTGTTTCCGCAGCGGGTATGTGCAGGGGGAGAGGTGCGTCGGGCAAAATCGACTCCTCGCATGAGAGGAGACTGCCCTTCTAGACAAATGGTTTCCTCTTGACGTGCACATGTTTCAAATATCCCTAGAGGCCCGGTTCGGATAGCATCACAGCGCTCTTTGGAAAACGTTCATGTCCTGTCCTGTCAGCACGCCTGGTTTGAACGGAAGCTCCTGTTCTTCTGCGGGTTGTAGAGCTGAGGAGATGGGGCAAAGGGGAGGAAGAGCCTCCCTGAAAAGTGATTGCCTAGGCCTGACTGGATTTGCTAGCTGTGCTCTCCAGTTCCAGTACCTCCTGAGGTCTGGGCCGTCGGCCTGCCTTATGCAGGATGTGAACAACTGAAAAAGCAGTTGTTCTCTCCATGGTGTGCATAAAACAGTACATCGCGTTCTTCAGAAGGACAAATCCCAGCTTACTGATACGGCCGTCGCGTGCCGTTTCCAGAGACCGGACCGCATTTGGTATGCTGCTGCGAAAGGATTTACAGGCGGGAATTTTGGGGTGTGTCTTGAAAGCATCTGGAGGTAGGGAAGGCCAGAGTCGCCCAGGGCTCGGATTGAAAGTGCCGGTGCATGCCAGCAGGAGGGATTCTCTTTCCTGTTTTTTCTGCCAGTTCCCCTTGAGGTTGGGCACGTGTGAGAAATTGGACCGGTCCAGCTGGCTGACTGGGAACCTCTTCTCCATCTGTTTGTTTTGGTCCGGGAGTCTTTCTGTCATCCCCAAGCTCTTTCTTCTCTTTGATCCTTTGTTTCTTTCCTTGTCCATATGGTACCGTGACTTTGTTTGCAGCTCCATGTGCTATGGATGTCAGCGCGCTCACTGTTTCTCAAGCGAAATCGTTTTTCTCAATGCGAGTGACCCGTTCCTGCCACAGCGGCGGTGGAAGTCGATGATCTGCAGATCACCTCTAGCGACCTGGCCGCCGGTTTGACGTAGCCTTCCTCCGCTGGGTCGGTGCGGCGTCTAACGCGGTGCTCTCCTTCGTGGGCGCACCCTTATTCCCAGAGTCTCGTCGTTTGGTTCTGGTTCGGCAGTCTCTTGCACCACCCCTGCTCCGATTCTGCGTCTGTTGCTAACGGTACTCGACGCTCCGTTTTCGGGTTTTGTTAATTCTTTTTTAACACCGTGTCGAGGTTGCTTTGAATGAAAATTGCTGGCTGAGCCCAGACAGCACTGCTTCTCTAGCAGCACGGCTGCAAAACCTTGCGTTAGAAGTGCTGGTTTGAATGAAGAGACCTTTGAGAAGAGTCAGCAGCTCTTTAGTCGCAGGACCTTCCGCAAGTCTCATTTAATAGTCATGTGTCCTTTTCTTCATACCGCAAGAGCAGCTCGAGCTGTCTCGGTGCAGAGCAGCTGTAGGCAAATGCCAGAGGCTCCTACCCGCGCTTCTGAAGCGTGAAGCTGGGGCTCATGTCCGCGAGGAGGACCTTGAGGGCTACCAACCCTTGTCCTCGTTGCTATGGACCAGAGGCGGAAGAGAAGGGTGAAGTTTCGTGTCTGACAAACACGTACCTAGATTTCGACCGAAATATTTTTGGTCTGGCTTGGAGGAAGGAGGCGATAGGAGAGCTAGGAGTAAAACCTAAACTCCTCACTGGCCTTGGGGACCGAGGATCCTTTTCTAGCTGGGTTAAATGGGCAATTCCTGCCATACGTCCATGGTCTTTTCTGGATTTAAACATTCCTGGTGCGTTGGCTCTAGGCTGTGCCTGCTGGTGAATCGCAGTGCAGGTACTGGTTTTGATTTTGAGCTTTGACCTGGCAGAAGACTCATCTGGGAATCACCCACACTGCGGTCCATGGAACAAACGGCGTGCATCTTCCCTTGAATTGTGCTGGTGCCTTTTATCGCGGGCGGTAAATTGCTCTGAAAGTTTCTATCCAGTTGGATAGCTTGCGAAGGGAAGGGATATTGTCAAATGCTGACCGAGAGTGTTCCGCAACGGTAATTCCTGCACCTGCTTGTGTTTCCTAATGGAGATGTACTTTCTGCCTTTGCTTCTGAAAGTCGTACAGCGTAGGACTGATATTGTAACCTTTTATCTTTTAAACGTTCTCAGTAAGTGCAGAATGTTTTTCAGGGTGTTTGGGTAAACTGCTGTTTGAGGGACAGAGAGGGCAGGGGGAACGGCTCAGCTGCGTGCACCGGCAGTTTTTGAGTTCCGATACGCTCCCGATGAACGTGTTGATCCTTTCTCTTCATATCCGTACGTGACTTCCTTTGTCACACATGCCGTTGTTTTCATCCCGAGTATCAGGCAGCTGGCTTTGTTAGTCCCGGCTATGCGAGCATGGGTGATTCTCCAGCTTCCCGAAGCCAAGAATGGTAACGAATCGACCTCGAGGAGGAGGTATGATTATTGGCATGAGAAACAATTCTTATAGCTTTTTCTTCTCGGACGGAAAGGGAAGGTCACATAGGCTTGTGGCCTCCAGGAACCGTAAAGACCGAGTCCCAGGGAGTTTTCCCCTGTAGAACTGCTGCTTAAAGAAATCTCTTTTGTATTTAATCCCTGCTTGTGGTTCTGGCTTTAGGATAGAAGAAATGCTATTTAAAATCTGCTTTTCTGTAATGACCTCTTTCCAGATACCCATGCCCTCACCTCAGTGTCGTCGTGGCATTTCGTAACGCCTGGGACCACAGAGTGACCCTGGTGTGCGGCGTGGGCCACCATCTAAGTTTTTAGACTTGAATGATCTGCATTTGCCAGGTTGTTCTCTCAGGGTAGGCTCCATATTTGCACCTTGTGAAATCAGTCCTTGACCAGCTGTGTGGGGCAAGAGGAGCGGCATAGCGGTGAGCTCGAACGCAGGGAGGCTTCTGAAGGAGTTCGACCCGCTTATGAGGGCTCACGCTCTGAACGCTGTGTTTTGCCAGTGGCTACGCGTGTAGAAACAGAGGCTGGTAAATGAAGCCAAAGTACACGTTTTGGGTTTTGTTTTGTTTTGGTTTTTTTTGTTGTTGTTGTTTTTGTTTTTGAGGGGGTGGGGAGTGTGTGGGGTTTTTTTATGGTGGGATTATTTTGGCTGGGCAGAGTTACTGGAACTTACCTACGCTGCGTATTTTTACTTCTCTGAAGAAAATAGATTTCTCTAGCTGTTCTAAGTATGCTTGTAAGTATACTTCTGTATGGATACATCCTCTCTGCCTCTTCTGGCAAGGCTTTTTAAGAGCCCTCCCATCAAAAGAGCCCTCGGCGTCATCCTGTGAGGGGTATCCTCTTGAGGCGAGAGAAAATGGGCATGAGAAGAAACGGAGGGAACTGTGAAATCTCACTGTTTCAGGGGTGTCGTAGGCTTTAGCGTGATGAGCGTCTGACTGAGGCCTGATACTTGAAGAGGGCGCTCAAAGGCCACGTATTCGAGGGCAGAGCGATCGCACGCACGTTTGCATACACTTGTGATTAGAGTGCGCTCTGCGAACGCTTGTACCAGCACGCTGCGAAACACCTGAGGACGACAGGACCGATCGGTAGGTCGGGAGAGCAGCCTTGCGGGCTTCTGCGGTGTCCACAAAATATTTCTTAGGCGAACCTCCGCAGGGGCAGATTTGAGCAAGCGAGTCCGACTTCAGCCCCTGCAAGCACCCTCTTGCAGCTTATGTAGTTGTGGATGTTTTTTTAAGCAAATTGGCTGAAGCAGTGGAGAGTGAGGGGACACTGCTCAAGTACAGAGCTAGTCTGAAAACAGTTCAGCTGAGGGAAGCATAATGAGAACTTCTTAAAACCGATGTAAGACTGCCACGGGCATGCGCTTTTTCTGGACTAGAACCGGGTGTGCGGTG